ACTGCCTGCCATTCTGTTTCTAAATCCAATTCAAAGGTTAGTTATTATCTTTAAAGCTCTCTGTGGTAAAGGTCCAGGATATCTGAGGAACTGTCTTCACCCAATGGGATTAGTCGGTGCCATTCATTCTGTCAGAAGAGGCCTACTGCGGATCCCATCAGCCAAGGAATTTTGGCTGGTGGGGTCTAGGAGAAGAGCCTTTTCTGCTTTAGCCCCCAAACCTTTGGAACATCTTGCTACCAGAAATGAGATCCACCCCTTCTCTTGTGACCTTCAGGAAAAACCATAAAACCTGGCTATGAATGAGTAGCTCTAGTGTAGAGGTGGTTGGTGCTGTAACAGTGAAGACCCCATCCCTGCTCCGTTCAGATGCATTGTTTAATGGAGTGGATTGCTAATATTGATTATTTGCAGGTTGGAGGGGGGGGTAGGGGAAAGAGAAAGGAAGAAAACTGCTTTGTTCATGTTGCAACTTTTTAGATGTTTCTTTTTTTCTCTTTTTCCATGTAAATGTTAATTTAAACATCACAACTGTGGTTTGTTTAATATATCACAAGTATTTGGTCTTCTTCAGTCTGTGTTTAAAGCAGAAAAGTGAAGTCTTTATACAGCCTGCTTCTAAATGCTGCCATAAAATAGATAAAATATCAGTAGCTGAAGTGTTACTGTAGCTACAGATAACTTAATGATTATGGCACACTTTTTCATATTTTTAGGACAGGAAGCTGACCAAAGCAGAACAGCAGAGGTTTAAAGAAGAAGCTGAAATGCTGAAGGGGCTACAACACCCCAACATTGTCCGATTTTATGATTCTTGGGAATCAACGGTTAAAGGAAAGAAGTGTATTGTATTAGTAACTGAACTGATGACATCTGGAACACTGAAAACGTACGTATTTCCTGATTTTTCTCATAAACAGAGTAAATATTTGCAGAATTTTTTTTGAATGTTGTTCACAATTGCTAGTAGTATTTTGGGCACTAACCATTGTTGTTGAATTATCAGTTAGCCAGCAAACATGCAGCAATCAACTATGTCGCTTTATAGTTCTTCTAAAATGTGTCAAAGTATCCAGCTGACTGAATTGTAGTTGCTTGCTTATATAAAATCTGTTTCATGGAATTACTGTGAGTTAAGAAGTGTTAANAGTTTTGTTAACATTAGTTGAAATTGTCTGCTGTGATTTACACAGCTTAAGAGCTATTGATCTTCTGAACATTACTAATAAAGTTTGATTTATGATCAGCTGTAGAAATTTCCTCATCAAAAGCTGTACCAATAGTTAGTAGATTGTATGTTAAAAATACTGGAAACATTCAAGCATACATTAACCTGTGTGGCTTAGGGAATTGCGTTAGGACAAGCATGCTGCCAGTTCAAATTATATCAAACAATTGTTAATATAAATATTTATTCAATTTACATAAAAGTATGATTGATAATACAGTGCGGGACAATGGACTCCTCAAGGTAGTTGGCACTTAACATACTACTGTGGAAGAGCTGAGAATCTTTTAAAGTAATAATGATATTTATGATGTAGCTAGATGTCTAATTTTTGATATCTAATTGCTGATGTTGCTATATAGGAAACATAAAAATCAAACTGAGTATTGATCTGAATCTGGGAGAGAAACTAGTTTCTCCCTGAGGTTGGAACTATAGATTGGTCTGCCTTAGGTGATTAATGGATCCAGTTGGGGTTCAGAGTGAATTTGGGGGTTGTTCCTGAGGTCCTGCTGCATAGTCTTACAAAAGTTCTGGTGGCCACCTGGAATTAATGTCCTTTGGACTCAAGGCTCCTGTTTGAGGAGCAAGTAACTGTCATGGCTAAGAAGTCCTTTGCACAACTACAGTTTATGTGTCAGTTGTGCCTGTTCCTGAACTAGAAGGTCCTGCTCATAGTCATTAATGCCCGCCCAATTGAACTGCTGCAGTGTGCCCTTGAAGATGATTTGGAAGCTTCAGCTAGCACAGAATTTCAGTGTTAGAAGCTTAACATGGAAAAAGGGATACCAGATGTCCAAGCTAGCTTCAGAAAATGCCAGGAAACACGAGACACTATTGATGATGTATGCTGCATAATTGAGAAAGCCAAACAATACTCCCCAAAAAGTTAGTATGTGTTTAATTGATTGTAGAAAGCCCTTCAGTTGTGTTGATCGTGTCAAGCTGTGGAACGTGCTTAGAAAAATGGGAATCCCAGAACATCTTATTGTCTCAATGAGAAACTTATCTATAGGTCAAAAAAACCACAATACAGACAGAACAGGGCAAAATGACATTGGCAAAATATTTGGGGGAAAGAAAAGCTTGTTTCCATCTATTCGGGCTTCCTAGAATGGGGTTAATTTATTTATTAGTAAAGAATGCTTTATAAGGTACTTTTATGTATCAAAATTGGAGGAAAGGGGCTTGTCACAAATAAAAAGACAAGAAGCTCTGATGTTCCTTAAGGTACCAGAGACATAGTCACCCAAGCTATCCATCTGATTTTTGCTAATTTTCTTTTCTTACAAATTTTCTGGTTTTGCTGGATGAGTGTGCTTTTAAATTTATGCTGCACATTAATGCAGACGCATTAAGAGTCTTAGATTACCTTCATACATTCATTGCTTTGAGTCAAATTTAGCTCCTGGTGACTTCATGGATAACATTCATACTGTCTTCTTGGCAAGAGTGTAGAGGTTATTGGCCATGGGTTCTTTTTACAATGTTCCAGTCTAATTGACAGCTGTGGGATTCAGTGGTGACCTTCCATCCAAACCCTACTGGAAAAAGAAAGCTCATGGGGGCCACATTGCTGAAAATGTACTCATCTGCCTTTCTTAAATTTCTAAAGACAAGAGGTGGCTAATATGTATCTGCAGCACTCATATCATTAGAAGCTAAGCTAATAGCCTAACTTTATGGTGCCTAGTAGAGCCCCTTCGCCAACTGTATACCATTGTAACTTCCACAATCCAAACTCCTAAGATCAGCTCATCAAGTCCCAAAATGTGTTTATAAATACCATCCTGCGACTAGAGTCAGGCTTCATGAAAGGGAGAGTAGAGCATGGGTGACCATACTCAGGTATTAGCTAAGACTATGCTTGTTCCCCCTTGGCCTTGCCCCATGAGTGAAGATTTTCAGTCCACATGGAAACAGGAAGTGGCAATTGAAATCTCATCCATCGGCTTCTCTCTAGGTCTTCCACTCAGCATGGGATATGATCAGGCCACAGCACTCATTAAACAGCATGTAGCGGACACAGAGCGCCAATTGGATATAGCCAGGACCCATTCTTTATTTGCTATTGAATCCCAAAAGGTACTCTGCCTCCCTTATGGCACTTAACTAAACATAAAGTACCTAAACTTTGTATTGTGCACCAACTGTGTCCTTTTCTGGATCACAAGGCCCTGCGCTCAATCACTCATGTCCTGGTGATCTCTCATTTGAATTTTGCAACATGTTCTATTTATTTATGAAGTGTATTTGGAAGCTACAGTTGGTCCAGAATGTGGCAGTACAGGCAATTTTGGAGGCCCCTGGGATGGCACATGTAGCACCACTGTTATGTGAGCTGCACTGCCTGCCATTCTGTTTCTAAATCCAATTCAAAGGTTAGTTATTATCTTTAAAGCTCTCTGTGGTAAAGGTCCAGGATATCTGAGGAACTGTCTTCACCCAATGGGATTAGTCGGTGCCATTCATTCTGTCAGAAGAGGCCTACTGCGGATCCCATCAGCCAAGGAATTTTGGCTGGTGGGGTCTAGGAGAAGAGCC